AAACAATACTGTCTCTTTTATTTTCCTTCATTCACAAGCCTGTTAGACATAATTACAGGATACTAGTTAAATAACAATTTGCTGTGAGGTTGTGGATATGGGATGTGATAGAGGATGGACACTCCCACTGAAATCAAGAGTGTCTTCTGTCAAGACAGCTTGTAAAAGGCTTCCAGGTGCTGCTACTGGAGCTACCTACGTTTTCCACTGCATTGTCTGAACTTTCTATCTGTGAAACCTTTGATTTGCACAGAAAATGTCTAGTCAAATATGTCTAGTTCAAATGAACTCTCTGCTGTGGTTTATTTCTCCTCCTTTGTGTATTCCCCTGCTCTCCCACGCATGTATTTTTAGTTCTGTCCATCTCATCCTTCCCCTGTAACTTCCAGTGACTTGTTATCATCTGTTAACAATTTGCAAGTATCTATTCCATGCCAAGGCGTGGGAAAACAGTCTTCCCTAAAACTGACTCCACTGACGGCCAGAATTTTCTTATGTAACTGAAATAAGATAATTCTGTAATCAATCACTGCCAGATATAGACTGAAAACCACTCATCTGCTGGTATTATGTAAGTATACCTGTAATGAGAGCTCTATCTGTCATAAAAATACCCAATGACATGGAAGGACATTTTTCTTCCCCTGGTTAGTGCTAGTAACTTGTTATCCTAGAAGTTCAAGGATTTCTGGAGTCAGGAAAAAGATTTTTATTAATTGCCTAGAGAGGCTGAGTGGCTGGTCACATTTTGTGATCTGGACTGTTGTTACAATTTAATCTCAAAATGTGGAGCTATTACTGGTTTACTTTTAATACCTAAGGAAAATGTTAATTTTCATTAAAGCAATGGTTGGAGAACCTGGTATTTTAATCACTTGAGATAAATAATGCAGAAAAGGTCATTACACAAGCTTCCAAGAGAACTCTGCCTTCCACTAATGTATGAGGCCTCCAAGTGTCCAAACAGATAATGTTGTTTTCTGTATTTCTTTGATTCACATATCTCCCCAGTGTTTTCACACAGCTTCAGAAAAACAGCTATGTAACTTCTGTTTACTTTTCCTATTTACATTTATTTTGAGGGATGTTTAAACAATCTGTGGTGACTGCTTTTTATAGGATTAAAATTATGGATTCTACATACACCTCAAAAGAACCACTGGGACAACAGAAATGTTTTTTAAACAACTGAAATTCTGTAGTAGATCATTATCAACTTGTGACTGCCATTGCTTGTAACGGGACATAAGCCTTGTACTGAGTTTCCAAGACCTCAGAACTGAAGCTTGTCAGACTTGCACTGTTTGACCATTTTTCAATCTGCTTGTGCTTTGCTTCCAAGTGAACCCCAGAGGGATGAAGAAGAAGCTGTCAACATAATCATGGTATTCTTCCTGGTGAAGGACTCCAGATGCTGACAACTCACTGTAACCCCAACTCCCCTCACCTGAGTGAGACTGCTGACTTTGGGGTCTAGGTAAGGAGGGGAGAGAGGTGCACACAACACCAGGAGAATGGTAGAAACTAAGAAGTATCTGTGGAACAATTCATTATTTATACAATAAATAATATAATTTAATAGTAATAATTTAGCATAAACATATACTTTCTGTAATAATTACATCTGAATTAATAATAATTATTGAATGAGGCTGTTAGGATTTCAATTATGCTAACAATAAATTTTTCACTTTATAAATAAGGTGTGTTTCATATTTGTCATAAATAAAGTTTTGAGTATAGCAAGCTGGGTGTACAGATAGGAAATTTCTATCTGAAGAACATTAATTGCCTAGAAAACTTATAGTTATGGGACAACCCATGTTATGGATAAGTGTACTCAGCTCTGAGGAATAATCCATTAGATGTTCAATAAAGGTAGGAATGACACCACAAAAGTGATATCAGTATATCCCTCTTTGCAATAAAACACTATTTAAATCTAAATAAAGAATCATAGCTTTACATGTTTGGTTTGTAAAGAGTCACACATTTGCTACTTTAAGGCAAACAGGCAAACAGTTAAAGCTAAGAACATTTCACCCTACATATTTCAATCTATATTTAATTAAAAAAGAAAAATGTTCTTGATGGTATACATTGTTCATGGAAGAATTTGCAGCTATGTTGTTTATATATGTTAGCCTTCACTATATAAGTACATCATGCCTTTTTTTTTTAAAACGTAATTAATGAGGTATCTTGTTTTACAAATATATCATCCAGGTTGGAATCCAGATCTTTAGTCCAATCAGTGGCCCAAAGTGTGGTCAGACTGGGTTGCTCCCCGCTTTATCCAGCTGGGTCTTAAAAACCTCGGATGACTGAGGCTACTAATATTTTGACTCCACTTCCTGACTTAATGAGCCCTGCCACACACCTTAGTAAGGAGGCTGGCTCTGCCTTCCCAAGTAACCTGCTCATGGGTGTTAGAAGGCTGCCATTAGGTACCCTGAACCCTTCTTCTTTCCAGTCTCAGCAAGCATGGTTCTATCTGCCTATGGCAGGGCTTCTTCTACAGCCCCTGCTCATCTTGTTCACTTCCTGCTAAACCTGGCCCAGCTGATCAATACCTGTCTTGTACTGAAGGGCCCAAAACTAGCAACAGTACACAGGTGTGACCTAAGGAGTGCCTAATCCAGGGAGCTAACTGTTTCCCCTGATGTAGTGGCTACCCTCCTGTTAGTATGGCCTGGGATGTTAGTGGCCATGTGCTGCGTGGTGCTTAGCTGGCTGGGCGCCAGTATCTCCCAAACTTCTTCAGCAGGGCTGCTACCCTGCTGGTCAATCCCCAGTCTGTGCTGTTGGAAGCAATCTGTGTGTCCTGGGTGCAGGATTTTGCACCTGCCTTTGCTGAATTGTCACGGTTCTGCTTGCTCCCTTTCCCCACCTCTCCCTGCTGAACTCTACCTCCTGCCCCTGGGCCTGCCCACTATGGTTGCATGGTTTGGAATTACTTACAAAGTTGATGAGGGTGCACTCTCCTCCCAGGGCTATTTACAGACACTAGACAGGACAAAGTCCCTGGTAATCCACACTCATTAACAGCTTCTTGGTAGGGTACAAAATGCTAACCACTACACTTTGACCTTGATTCCAGCCAGTTTTTCACCCATCTAATTGTCCACCCATCCACCCAAATGAGTTACAAAAATTATGTGGGAGGCCATGTCAGAAGTCTTGCCAAAGTCATTGTACTATAACTTCTTCCTCATGTAAGTAACCATTTCATTTTGGTATAAAATAGAACACTTGGGAAGTAGTTACCCAACAGTACTAAAGGAATTGTGTATCAAACTCAAAAAAAGGATTTAGATTTCCAAGGAGCAGACATGACAGAAACTCCTTTGACAATTAAACTTTAAAAATCCTATTTAAAGAATTTCTTTAGTTTGAAAAAAGTGCTGAGAAATCTGAAAGTTTCTCTGTTGAAAAGAACATCTGGATTTGTTTGAAACAAGATTTTTATTTCTGTCCAGTCACCACAAGGGCTACTTCAATAAGGTCACTGAGCAAGAGTCAGGATTTTAACTTACAACTGTAGGATACGTATATGAAAAAGATTAATCCAGAATACAATGCAAGTTGTATTAGTTAAACATTGGCTAATGTGTTAAGATATGAATAATTAAGTCTGAATTAAGATAATAAAATGTCCCAAACATCAAAATTAGGGCTGGAAAAAAAATCATTTGTATGTCTTTAAATACAGAATAGTTGTGTAAAACATTGTATACAAACCAGTGAACCATTGACCTATTTATCCCATTATTTCCTTTTCTACTTCTAAGTATGTCACAACTATTGCATAAAACTACTAGGACAAGATTTGGACTCTGGCAAAGGTAGACAAGAAATGGGGAACAATAATTTCTTTTACTAATAATTTTTGTAACATAAGTACCCACTATTGTTCTGCGAAGATCTTATGTTAGTAGGAACCTCTCTGTGTGTGTGTGTGTGTGTGTGTATGAGAAGTGCCTTTCTATCCATTTTCACCCCTTCTTTGTTAATCTGTTATGACGTTCAGAGAAGTTGCTAAATAGTCTTTAACAGTGGGATTATTTTAACATTCCTCTCTGGAGATTTTCTGAGCTGCTCAACAGTGCCTGTAGAGAGGCTGAATCTCGGGTTCCTGTCTTAAACAGGCAGATAAATTATTGCTGTTTTTTATATATGGTGGCATTGGAGATAAGAGTTAACAATCTCTCTGACAAGTCTAGTTATTTGCTGGAGATTTATTTCATATAATACCTTCCGTTTTCTCACATACTTGCTTTAAGGACACTTGATTGTTGTCTACACATTTAGAGGACTTCCACCATTCAGAAGTCTATGAAGTGTGGAGCTTCAAACAAACAGCACGACTTCTAACATTTGAATAGCTTTGCATTGCCAAATTTTGTTTAAGACTGTGGTGCTTTGGCGGACTAAGATGTTGCCCTGGAAACATTGCTAAAGCCCTGAATGTTTCACTCTTGCTGTCCTCCTCCATTCTGGAATAGAGGTATTACTAGGATCAATTATGGAGGTTCACATTGCTCAATATAATAAGATTTATGCTCAAAGTAAGATTTCTGTGCTAAGCCAGTGCCTTCCTGCTTTATTGTTAAGGCAATGTATTTTGTTGCCTGGGCAGTTTTGGGGCTTTATTTCCATTTCCATATTGTCCTTAAGTATCAAACATACTTTTGAATGTATTCTTGTTGCTTTACTTGTTTCAATGTAAGACCACTGAAATGAAACAAGGTTTTAAAACAGAAGGCTGAATTTCATTAATGTTTTGGCATTAGGTCTCCTTTCTGTGGGATCACTTTATCACTGCGGCTCTTCTGATTCACAGTGGTCGAGATCCATCAACATCTCCAGAACCTTTAGCAAGAAGGCTCACTTCTCCGGCTGTGGACATGACAATGAACACTCAGTAGACAGAACAATCTTCTTTTTTGGCGAAAACATTGTGTTCTGCCGTAGCTGAGAATCACTGAATCACATCTGTGGGAAAGGAGTTGTATATGTCCTTTGGAAGAACACTGCTCAAAAGATGGACAACCTGCAGCTGTTCACAATCATGTATCTTAAATAAAGCTCAGGCGCTGCTCGTTAAAAATGCAGATTCCCGCTGCCAGGCATTTGGAGCTTATTCATTAGAGACCAGCAAAAGCAGAGCTGCCGGCGTGGGGGTGGGTGGGCCGAGAGCTGAGCACAGCAGAGTCAGCCACAGCCTCAGGGCGCTTGGGCAGGGCAGGGCCATCAACGGGACGTGTCAGCAGCCCAGCAGTCATCAGGTGACAGCCAGGTAAGGAATCATGTCCCAGGTCTAGGAAATCTTTGTGGTAGTTCGGGGAAATCGGGGTGTCACTATCCCTGGGGATATTAAAAGGCGTTATGTGTCAATTATTGGGACATGGTTTCGTGTGGACTTGGCACTGTTGGATTGCTGTTGGACTCGGTGACCTTCGAGGTGTTTTCCAACGTAAATGATTTCGTAATTCTATGACCGAGAGTGGAAACAGGCAGGGGCAGTGGCAGCGGGCTCCAGGAGCAGCTAAAATGGGTCTCCTGGGCAAAGGGGCTTGGGGATGTTGGTCAGGTCCAGTTCGGACAGCGATGCCTTAATGCGATCTGATGCGACTTTCTAAAATGCAATTTGCTTTAGTTATCTTTTTTTATTATTATTATTCATTTATCCCTCCCTCCCGCCGTGCATTTACGTAAAGGATCTTTCCTTCCTGCCCCTGATTGACAGCCAGAGAAGCCACCGCTGTTTTTCTCTGGGAGGACCGGCCTCGGCTCCCCGCCGGTCCGAGGCGGCGCTCCTGGGGAAAGCGACGCTCCTGCCGCGCCCCTGCCCGTCCCCCGCGGCGGCCGGAGCGGCAGGAGAGCAGGAGCAGCATGGTGGTGTCGCCGCTGCTGCGCGCCGTCATCATGGGGCCGCCGGGCTCCGGGAAAGGCACCGTCTCCGCTCGGATTATCAAACACTTCGGCGTGAAGCACCTCTCCAGCGGTGACCTGCTGAGGGACAACATGCAAAAGAAGACAGGTGGGAATGGGGACCGGGCGGGGGTGGGGGGGTGTCCGATCCCTCTTCCCCCCAGCTCCGCGGGACCTGTCCCCGCGCAGCCCGGCGGGGGCCCCGCCTGACACAGCCCCGCGCACGCGGCACGCGGTCCTTCCCAGCCTCTTTCCCTCCCTTCTCCCTCCGGGAAGGGGGTTTGCTGTTCCCCAGTCCCAGCTCTGTGCTCCCACCTCACCCAGGCGGGGCTGGGTGTCTTCACACAGCTCCTTTGGAGGCGGGGGGCCACCGAAGTAGGCCTCGTATCTTTAGCCGCGGGTCTTCTACGAGCTGTCACTTGGCATCCTCTTTGTGAAGGTGTAGGGGGTTATCTGGGGTTATTTCGCTTTCCTTGCTTTGTTACACCTCATTGATTCCTCGTCTTCGTGCTTTTTGTAAGCACACAGTTTTTGTAGGTGTTTCTTCCAGCTCTGTTAGTCTCTGATAGTTTTTCTAGCTGGAAGCGTCTTAAAAGGGAAAAATGCAGTTTTTAACAGGCAGGGCAAGAGGAGGGGTTCTGGGCAATTAGACTTTTTCAGATCTCCATTTGATGGCTAGTAGTAGAGGCACCTAGAATTATTAACAGCTATTCCAAAGTTAGAAAGCCTTGTCCCAGACAGCCAGGCATAATGGTAGTGGTACTTTCCAAAACCAAATGGGCAGAATTTTCAAACTGCTTATCTTATGCTTTTATTATTATTATTGTCTTACAAGTTCACATCGTGCTTAGGTTGCAGCATGGTCTGCGTTTGCATACAGTACTGCTTGTATGAGGTAATTATGTGAGTTATTCTTGCTCTATAGTCCTAGCTTGACCTCTGGCCTCTGTTGAAATGCCACAGCCCCTGTCTGTGGTGGATTTTTGCAATGATGAAAGGTCCCCTCCTGACTTCCATGCCTGCTTTTCTTCATGGGGGGATGAGAAACCTTTAAAGAGCCATTTCAGGTTGCATATGATGAAGTAAGAGTATTGTAATTTCCAACACTTTAAAGCTGTATAGTATTACAGTCACCTGTGAATATCACAGTAGTATTACCGTTGGGTAACTGGCAGTCTCTTTATTTTTGGAAACTCATAAGCATGTTTGAAGTTGAAAAATTATCTGCATTGTGAAATCAGTTGTGGTGTGATTTCCACATCTCTTTACACAAATTCTGTTTGCCCAGTAAGAACAATGACTTTGGCACAGTGACCAGCTTTACTACAATGGATATCCACAAGTTAAGCATTTGCTATGAGCACCATATTGTTTGGTTGCTTAATCAATAGTTTTTATTTACCAAGGGTCACTAAACTGTTCTGTTATGACATTTCAGTGTAAGACCTAGTGGGACCATTTTGGAAAATGAAGGAAATGTGTTATTTTTACCAAGTGCTTTGGAGTTTAGTAAATATTTTAAGTTCTGTGCTCTTTCAATATGTCTTGGAAGCAAGATCATAAAGCATCAGAATCAAGCTGAAGGATGTGTGAGAAGAGAAAATTGCAAGAGGAAATACTGCATTGCTTGATTCGAGGAGGGAGCCATGAAGTGGTAGAAAGAAGTGAATAGGCAAAGAATTCTAGGTGGGTTGGACAGATGACAGAATGTGAAGCAGAGCAAAGGTGTGAAATGAAAATGTAGCAGACATATTAAAACCCTGAATGTGAGGAGAGAAGCCAGTGGAGGGTGTAAGTGGTGATGGTTTTCTCTAACTTGGCTGGCATAGAACTTAACAGAATCTGCTACAGAGTTTTTCATTCACTAATTAATCCGGATAAAGTTCTGTTGTGATTTCATTGAACATCAGTCACTAGTTGCAGAAATGGTCTCCAAAGGGTTGAGAAGAAGTATTCGAGGTAGCAGGAATAAGTAGTACACTGCAGATAGGAGAATGACAGATAGGCAACTCAGAGAGCTTTGACAAGTTCAGTCAAGGCAAAGCATTTGAGTTTTAATCATAACAGAAGCATTTCTCTGTTCTTTGGGAAATGTCTAAGTTAAAACACTTGAAAAATTAGATATAATTAACAATAGTTATATGGTGCAAATTTTGGCACTTGCTGTCTTGTGAAAATGGACATTGTTGAAAAGTCCTGTTGAAGATGCGGCTGTAGCAGTTTGCAGTTATTACCACATTCTGCTGCTTTGGAGAGTGGAGAGTCTGTGACCACCTCTCTAGTGGTAAGGAAACTATTGTCTGATTGTAGCTAGAGCTTGTTTACTGTAATGTGGTTTGAACATGCCAGTCTTTTGTAAAAACATGAAACGTGGATACCTGTTATCACCTAGAAAGAAATCTGTGTTGCCTTTAATTCCAAAAATTGCCATGCCAGTAGTGGTTTCAGACCCAAGCTGACAAAAAACAGAACTAAATAAAACCAACAAAACCTCACAACAACAACAAAAAGCTATGATCTAGTGTACAAACCTTTTGTCCTAATATGTAACTCTGAGGGTACAGTTTTGCCTGTTTTTTCCTTCTGTAATAGTAACTTTCTAAATTACCTGAGTTCTGTAGAGAGAGGTAAGAGGCAGTATGTTTCCAACTGTGTTGGTCTTATAACAGGACCTTGCAGCTTGCTGTATTCTAAATCTCTCTGGGCCCAAAAACTCATCAGTCTTTCCAAAGTATGTTAGAACTGTTTTCTGTGAACCTTGCCTTGCATATATTTTTAGATCATTGTGGCTAGAGCAATGCTGCAACCTAAATCAGTAGTAGATCTAAGCATCAAGTACACATTAAACTATCTAGAGAAGATTTATTCCTCCTCCCAGTCTACTTTTGCAGGGTACGTGGTTTAAAGCACACTAGAATAGTAAGAGGTATGACTTGCTGACCTTGAAGAAGGAAGGAAGGAAGGAAGGAAGGGAAAAGACCCAGGCAGACTCAGTGGCTATTTCATGGTCTTCAGGCTTTTCAAGCCTGACTACAGATGTGAACACTCAATAAGGGGAAATTATCTCTTAATTGTTTGGGGTTTTTTGTGTGTGTGTGTGTTTTTTGTTTGTTTTTGTTTTGTTTTGGGTTTTGTTTTGTAATTAGCAAAGCTACTGTTTGCATCTACTACTTTTCAGTTGCCTTATCTGAAGAACAGCCTCTGTACTACTGCACATTCCATGCATTGAGTGACAGGACTGGCATTTTTCACTGCTTTCTGCTGAAAGTGGTTAAATGTTGTGTTAGTATGTCAGTCCATCCCATTTTCTCTTCTGCTTAGTTTTCTGTAACTAGATCTGAATTGGCTGCAAGTAAAGGCTTCTGCAGATCCACAATAAAACCTGTCTAGCTGCTGCTCTGGGTGACTTAACATAATTGGGTAATTGTTTTGTAAATGAAAGGTATGGAGACTTTGTGCCTGTGATACAACTGAATTTCTTCCTGGCTGTACCCATTATTTGGGTGAACTACAGCATGCTACTGCCTGTCGTAGGAGCATGGTGTGATACCCAGAACCATGATGTGTGGATGTAATTTTAGTGAGCCAGTGGGATAAATGACTGGTATTAAAGGTTAGTCAGTTCCATGGGAAAATACTAGTGTCTGTGTGCTCCCATAAATAGTTTACAGCATCTATAAACATCCTCTTGTAACTCTAGTAATCATAAAAATACATATCTGGCAAGCGTGTCCCACTGCACACTACTCTCTTAAATGCCAAAGATGTTTCTCTTCGTAGTGAAGTCCAAGTTAGTTACTAACTGAGAAAATAACTTTTTTTACAGGAAATCTGAGGGCTGATATATTAATAAACTTGCATCCTTTATATTTCTTACTTTGAAGACTCTTTTGCCTAATGGCCTCTCCCAGTTTTAGTCTTATGAATTTAATATTTCAAATACTTACTAGTAAACTTATTCAGAGGGTGCAGGAATAGAGGTGTGTTCTGCACTGTTGCCATCTGTCAGACTGATCAAATGAATTGTATAAACATTTGTACAGTCAGATCCTACCTGATCATCTGTTTTTTTAATTTGAGCAAGCCTACTGTGTGTGTTGTTTACAATTTTTCTCTGCCATCCTGATCAAAACAAATTTTTTGCAGGCTTGTGGGAGGTCTTTACTTGCTGGAGGTCAGAGATAGTGTAATGCAACTTCTCTTACTTTCACAGAAGTTGGAATCCTTGCCAAGTCCTACATTGATCAAGGGCGGCTTATTCCAGATGACATCATGACACAACTAATGCTGACTGAGCTTAAAGGTCTAGATCAGTACAACTGGCTGTTGGATGGTAAGTTAGCATATTGGATATCATTGTATATGGAGAGAAAATTTGATCTGGAAAGCTTGGAGTGCTTTGGTCACTTGTTGCCAGCTTGTGAAACCTTCAGCAGCTAGTCTGCCCCAGTTTTTTTGGCTGAAAGATGCTTTGGGTGCACCCTGCCTTCAGAACATTACAGGGATATTTAACTCATGTTGAAAAGGGTAGTTCAATATGGCAGTAAAATTTCAAAACTGGCAGTTCTGGTAGTTTTTATGATATTGATTCATTGAGAAGTTTCTTTTTTTAAAGCCTTTTCTTGTTAAAGTCCTTGGGGAATGGAAAACCTTTGAAAGATGGGGCTGAGTAATTATTTAAATAGAAAGGTAGGCATGTGATGCAGTAACAAGGTAAGTTTGGAAAAGTACTGCAGTGGTGTGGTGTGTAATAAATCACTAACAAAACCACTGCTTAAGTGCTCTAAAGGGTCTCTTGCAGTTGGGTTCTGTTCTATAGAGTGAACTGTTTTGCAGTTCTGGCTTCAGCATTTACACTAGAAAGAAATGCATTTGCCAATGACTTCATGAACTGGATGGCTCTTGTTGTTCCAGCCCATGAGAGTACAGTTGGATGAGCAGCACAAAGTCAGCACCTAGGCTGGACTTTTCAGACTCCAGTCACAACATCTCAGTAGATAAAACTAAGAAGTTATTGATGTGGCTTTTTTTTTCTTTTCAGAGGGAGTGAAAAATCCCCAGTGTTCTCTGTCCCTTAGTGCTTAACTATAATTACTTCTAAGTACCGTGATCTGTTCTGATGGGTTTACTCACAGTAATGTTCCTCCCTGAGACAAAGGCTTTTCATTCCACAATGAAACCTAATCAATAAAGCCAAGAGCTGCAGATACTGGGGTTATTTTCTTTAGTTCCAGGGCCTGTGTATGCAGAGTTCCAGCCTTGTGGATCTGGATTTGTAGCAGCATAGCTGCACACACTGGCAGCTCTTACCAGGAGAAACTATGTGTGGAAACCATAAGAGAATAAGTCAATTTCTGTTGCGAGTTAAGATGCTGCTGCCTTTAAACTTTTGGAGCAAAAATTTTGTCTGCATCAGCATTTGGAATGAGACTCAGTGAATTACACCAGGGGTAGATCTGGCATAGTAGGCTTTGTAGGAACAACACTGTTCTGTTGAAAAGTGTTAATCTGAAATCTTTAGTTTGATAACTGTAATGCAGAACAAAGAGCTGAGGTCAGCTGTCTCAAACAAGAGTTGCTGAACTGCTTGTATTCTCACTTAGCCAAATAGCCATTTACTGCCTTATGATAGGTTGGTGGCTTCTAGAATCATAGCAGATGTAGCAGTCTTAAGTCGTGTGTGTCTACAGTTATAATCTGTTTAGATTTATGTGTGGTATAATTCAGGGCACTTTTCTCTGTGTTCCTGGAATCTTCATAATTCAATATTGTAGATTTTTTTCTGTATCAAGAAAACACTGTGTGCAGCAAACACTGGTTTATTTTCAATGAAGTGCTTTTGTAAAGGCATTTTAATTTGTTGAGGGAGTTTCTCATTACTCAGTCCCACAGCAAACTCCTTTTCCAGCTGCATAACTGAGATGTGTGGTGGCCAACTAGCTTGCCAACAGTAAGAACAATAGTCCTGGAGTCACAGCTCTCCTTCTGCTCTTAACATTTAGAAGCATTTCCATGATATGAGTGTGTGAAAAAAAGGATGAGGGCAGCCAATGACTGTGATGCAAACCAGCTGCATGAGACTTAATACACAAGCAAGAGCTTTGTTTGAGTTAATTAGCTCTTTCCTTTTATCATGTTTTAATCCAGACACAGTAGCCTTTAGACTTTTTTTTTGCCTGTTGTAAGGCTAGTTCTTTGCTTGTTCCTTACTCAGGCAGTGGACTGATCAGTAAATGTTATTCAAGAAGAGTTCCTGAAGTTTATACTTCTTGGTACTTGCCTTTATGGAGAAGTTTGCTTGTGTAGTATGATGAAAATTACAAGCTACTGAATTACATGAGACTAAGCTAGAGCTTTGTCAGTAGAGGCATTGTTTCAGTGAATCTGTGATGCGATAGCACGTTCTGCAGTAGCTTTGACCACCAAAGTTCTTGTGCTCAATTTTTCATTTTCAATTCTTTGTGGAGACCTTGGCTTTCTTATTCTTTGTTTCCTACTGCACCCCTTCTTAAGTTTCTCTAATAGTTGAAAGCATAGAATAGGGAGCTATAGAGGTCATGGGGCAAAATGCAGTGTCTTTTAAGTGAAAAGACAGGTTCTTGTTCAGCCCGAGTGTTCTCACAATTGTCATACCTCAGGACAGTTTGATACACTAGAACTTCTAGAATCCCTTCTAAAGCTATACTTTATATAAAATTAATCCTGGGCTGCCTCTGGTAAATATATTTGGCTTACTGCAACTGAATAAAACAGGTTTGTAATGGTCACTGCCTTAACCCAGACTTGCACAACTGTGGAAATAAGAGATGCCACAAATGTTTCTAAGTTATTCCAGACATCTGAGTGAAGCTTTTCACTGGAGCTTTTAATGTTCCAAATGCATACACAGTGCTTTTATGCAATGTAGTGGTATGTGGTACATATGAGTATGGGGTCTTTTTGCATTTATTGGTTATACTTTTGGGAAGATGATTAACTGAAATGAGGAAATGAAAGCTGGGAGGCATTTAACAAGTTAAAATGCCACGATACACTGAAAAATACTTGGGAAATCTCATGTCTCTTTAACCTTTAAGAGTATGATAATGCCTTTTTTTTTTTTCCTATTTGACAATTATTTTCTCTAATGACTGAATCCAGGTAATTCTGCTTTTGGAATCTTATGGAGTTGTTTCCTTTAAAAAGGTTTCCCCAGAACAGTTGCTCAGGCGGAAGCCCTGGATAAAGAATGTCACGTAGACACTGTGATTGACCTAGATGTGCCATTTGAGACCATAAAGTGTCGGCTCACAGCACGTTGGATCCACCCTGCCAGTGGCAGAGTCTACAATCTTGAATTCAGTCCTCCCAAAGTGCAGGTAAGCAATATGTGTTGGTGTGGCACTAAATAAATGCTGCATTTGGTAGTTGCAGTAAAATATTGTTTGCATATATTGTTTCAAAACACAGTGGCTCAGAAGAAAAGGGCTCATTTCATCTCTTGGGAGCACAGAATCTTTCTGGTAACACCCTGCCTTTGAGGGCATGTTAGTGAGCTGGTAGAAACTCAAGCTAGAACACTGTCTGCCTTGCAGAGTAGCATAGGATCTGGGCATATTCTTAGCCTGTTTGCAGCCTGTACAAGCTAAAATGTAGTTTCCTTTGTGGTCCTCCAGAGGAGTCATTGTTTGTATCTGGGAAGCACACAGAATCATCAGTTAGAGGAATACACTTAATGCTTTCCCCATGTTTATTATATTTAAATAGGATGGGTATTTTCAAGGGAAGAGCTGCTGTACTGCAGAATTGGATGTAGAAACTTGCAAGTCAGGGAAGCTTCTCAACAGATCTAAGAGGTGAAATATCCTAAAGCGGAATTTGAAGATAAGGATTGTACATTGTTACCTTAAGGTTTTTGAAGAATTAGGATTCTCCTTAGTGCAACTCAGCTTAAGCTGTATTTCATCTGCAATTCTAAATAACTTAGCTGTTGTGGCATCACATTTCACTTGGAAGCTGTAATAACTTACATCAGAAGCACAGCAGGCCCACTAGTTTTTTGGATTTCAGTGTTGCAGGGAAAGAGGCCAGCTTGAAATAGCAGGTAAGCACTGGAACTGAGGAACTGAAAACATTGCCTTTGTTTTGCTTTGAATGAGGTGTTTAAAATCATGGTTATTTTTAATTGCAGAAGAGCACAGGCAAGCTGCAACAGAGAATTATCAGACCTACCAAAGAGCAGGCTTCAGCTGCCAGAGCTGTGCTACTAGGAACGCTGCTTTACCTTTTGCTAGTTAGCAGGCACATCACAACATAGTAGATTGCAATATATAAGTTGAAACCATGGAATAGAGCTGAACAAGTGAAATACAGTTGTATCTAACAGACCTGCAAAACATTTACTTACTTAATAGGAACAAGAGATTATAGTTCAGACATTATGTCTCTACCTCTGTAGGGAGAGCTTCAACTGGCTTTTATGCCATTTTTATACAGCTGTTGCCAAATGATAACTCTTCCATTTTGCAACTTGAAATCAAAGGGCCATTAAAACCTTTGCCCATTTTAGTATTGTCAAACAAAGGTCCAGTTGGTCTATTATTTGCTGTTATGCAGGAATGTATTACCAACAGTATTGTTTTCCCTTGTACATGAAGGTTTTGTCTACGTGTTCCCCATATTCTACGAATTTTTCAGAGGACAAATTAGTCAAGTTACTGTGATAATATTCATTGGCAATACTGAGAAAATATTTCTAACCAACGGACTGTTTTACTGGAAAGTCAACAACTTGTATTGCAGATAAGATACAAGCAGCTGCCTTTCTCTTTATTAGCAGAAATCTACACCCTAACTGGCAGTGATCATAATTTAAATAGAAAATTACACAAAACATACTTAAACAGAAATAAGAAATATACTCCAGTGTTTGCTTTTAACCCTGATTAGGGCATCGATGATATTACTGGTGAGCCACTTGTTCAGCGTGATGATGACAAGCCAGAGACGGTTAGTAGGAGGCTGCAGGCTTATGATGCACAAACAAAACCTGTTTTAGAATATTATCGGTAAGTAGTAAAATCTATTCTTCCACATTCTAAAGCTCATTTCACACTAGCATAACAATGAACAGATCTTTCCAGTTACAGAATATCTTATTCTGCAACAGTGAATGCAGTGTGATTAGCCATGCAGCTTTCCTGGCCTCAAAATGGAATCAACCCAGTAGAATGAGTATGTTTTCCACTGTTGTATGGGACCTTTTCAGGAACCTGCATACTAAAATAGCCTGTCACCACAGCCATATTCAGCTTTATAAAGAGCACTATGCATTATTCAATACATCATAGTACTGTTCTGAGCAACACAGCTCTGGTGAGTAAGGTAACAGAGACAGTTCCTTTTTTTTGGAAGATCTTAACAGTATTTTGTCTTCTGAATGTATAAGTAGAAACCCATCTAACAAGTGCAAGGGGTCAAGAAACAACACACAAATAGAGAAACTGCGTAATGAGCATTTAAAAGTCTCTGTTCCATGAACAGGACTGTGACGGGCCCAGCTAGGAAGACTCTTTAGGAATAAGAAGCTATTTAAGAATCATGTCATTTGCATTGTGGAGTGATAACAAATTACTAGTTCTTTTAAGAGCTAAAATTATACACAGTTTCTCCTGATGTAAAGCAGCAGGTGTCACAGTGCTAATTTACAGATAATAGCAGGTCACCATGTAGACCTTTACTCTTAACTTGCCTAGACAAAGAAATCATAGTCTGACAACATCATGTAGGAGTTGTCCTCCCTCTATCTCCATATCCACCATCCTTCATTATGCGCGACCAGGATTGTTGAGCAGAAGATTAAAGGCTCCATCTTTGGTGTGGTTAACTTTTAAAGAAGTTATTCTAGGTTGACAATGGTATTCCTGATTTTGTTAGATTTCTGAAGTGAAAATACCTCAAAGACCGCAGTAAGACATAGGCCTAAGCTATTGTTATTATTGATAATAACATACTATACAGATAAAACTAGCTTCTAATTCAGAATAACTTAATTTTGCCTGATTATCTTGCTTGTTCTGATGCACATCCATGAGGTGCAACTTTACAATACCTGTGTTAGTCACAGTTGTTTGGATGACTGCTGTTCAGCATGTGCTATATGACTGTATTGCTGCTTATCTTTATCTTGCTTGTTAAGTGCCCTGCAGACAGCAGTCAGTTTTGTGAACTGATGTGGCAAATAGGTTGCTGTTTGAGGAAGAGAGTAATGAATGTCCAGCCTGCATTTCCAATGTTATGGCTGTTCTTGGTGTTAAATCAAATGCTCACTCCTGCCAGGGCAATCTTGGAGTGAGGTGGAGGTCTCGGGACAATTAAACAATTTGACTTCTGTAACAATTTCTTCTTTTTCTTCTTTAGGGAAAAAGGGTTATTGAAATCCTTTTCTGGAACAGAAACCAATAAGATCTGGCCGCATATCTATGCTTTCCTTCAAACCAAGTTGCCAGATGTGAGCCAGAAAAACGCTGCCACTCCCAGGTGAAAATATGTCAGACTTCTGCTCATCTGTCATAGCTCACTCTTGATTACATGAGACTCAGCCATCAAGGATTTTTCCACGTAGTCTACCAGACTGGTCAATAATTAAAGTCCAATGCTGTCCTTAACTTATATGATGATAGAATTGTGATGCCTGTGGTTCTCACTTTAATGCTATAAATTTTTATATTAAATATACCTAATTTTTAAAATATAGTAACTGACTTTAACAAAAGCTGCTACTCTTGTGTCTCTTATTTGGAAAATATGTTTGCAAACGTTGACTGGTGTAGGAAACACATTTCAGAATACAGCTTAATTAGAAAGCATGTGGGTTGATTTACTCATTAAATGAAGCAACAATGAGGATATGAAAGCACATTTCTTGAATGTGTCATAAGTTGGGGCTAGCCAGAAGCTGTGGAGAACCATGACCACTATTCTGCAAAAAGCCATTTCAGACCAGAACTGGCATTACAGATGAGTTGATCTCATGGAAGAGTCATCTTCTTGTAAGTTTGCTTGCACAGATGTTTGTTTTGCTTGGCTTAAATTACACTTAACACTTGCTTGGATGAATTTGTCTTATTACTAAGTTTATATTTCTGCCCTCAGAGCAACTACCTTGCAGGCATAGGAAATAGAGTTTCAATGATGTGTAACACATTTGGTGAAGCCTCTCTCTAAGACATTATCAGTAAAAAGACAGCAGATACTGAACAGATTAAGTGTAATCTGGTAAAGCTACAGCTACATGATCTTGATTAGTAAACGTGTCTTTTCTAGCATCTCTGAAAACAACTGCCCATTGATGCCAGTGCCACGATTTTCAGTGGTCAAATTATTAACTTTGGCATATTACTGTAGCAAGTTTTATTGTAGCAACTGGACTGGTTTTCATGAGGTTCTTGTCTCTGACCTGCTCTTGTGTTTATTTATTCACTAGATAACTGGAATTACAAACCTTTGCAATCTACACTTTTTGACAGCCCAGGAAATGCAGACACTGCTGTTTTTCAGTGAACTCTCCCAGCCCTTTTTTTATGCTCACCAGATCAAGAGTTTAAAGAAGAGTCGGCAAAACCTGAGCAACAAACAACTATGTCTAGGCAATGTCTGAAGGTAGCTCTGTTCTAGTAATGCAGGTCCCAATCTCCTTTTGCAGTGACTGTAGGCAGCTGCAGAGCTGTGATGATGACGTACCTTGGACTGCATTTGCACATCAAGTTTTAGCACTATCGAGACATGTTTGAATCTAAATAAAAAAATGGTCACTGCAGAATTTGTAAAGCTTTACTATTACTATAAATGAGCAATACAGTGAGCAGCTATCACTACAATCAGTTTTCCTTACATTTTAAAGAAAGCTTGCCAAAAAGGTAGCCCGCTTGTACTGTCCTCTTCAGAAATGTCTGTATGGAGGCTGCAGACTGAGTTTAGAGATGAACTTCCTTTAAAGTCATGGTTAGAAAACAGTAGGTACCATATTACAGTGAGAAATCCTGATTTGCTGCTTACCCTGATTTTTGCATTTTGATTTCAGTAAAAAGCAGTGATGATTGGGGATTTTTGCCAGCCTACATAAGTTTCAGTGAGTCAGAAGGGAGAAGGAATATCCTTATTATCTGACACTTATTCCCACACCATCCAATTTATCCCCTTAGAAACTTAAAAAATAACTCTTAGTGTACCACAGGTTGTTAGATCAATGGCTTTACTCCTAATGGTAGCAATTGCAAGTCACTGTGCTACACTGCCCTTACTATCCTCACATAACATTCAGTTAAAAAACAACCTGAAGTTCCTAATTTTCCCTTAGTTTCCCTTAATAATTAACTAATTATTAAGGAGGAAGCAGTGTCAGTGTTTACTTATCCTTTCTAGAGTATCTGTCAAACTTGAAAAATACAAATCTTACTGAAGCTGGTTATCTTCAATTTGCGTGTGGAATAGAGCTACCTGCTGCTTGCTGCTTTGTCTGCAATCTATCTGCCAAAGAATGCTACAGAGCACATGAAAAGCTACTTCTGTCTGTGGATCTGCTGCTGCATTTGTACCAATCAGTACAATATAGACTATTGTACTAATAGTCTATACTCTGGTATAGACTGCAGACTTAGACTTTTCCCTATTTCTGTTGTAACCAAACCTGAAGATTACTGGATTCCAGCATGGCTTTTCATGGAGTCATTAAGGTTGGAAAAGACTTCCTCTGACCAATCACCACCATGTCAACTAAAACACAGCACTGAGTACTATGTCCAGTCATTTCCTGAACACTTCCAGGGATGGTGAGTCCACCATTCTAATGGCCTGACCACCGTTTCAATGAAGAAATTCTCCCAGATGCCCAACCCGAACCTTACCTGTCACACCCTGAGGCTATTTCCTCTCATCCTATTGCTAATTGCCTGGGAGAAGAGGCCAACCTCCCCCACCTGGCTACAACCTCCTTTCAGGTAGTTGTAAAGAGCAATAAGGTCTTCCCTGAGCCTGCTTTTCGTCAGGCTAAACAACCCCAGCTTCTTCAGCTGCTCCTAGTATGACTTGTGCTCCAGACCCTTCACCAGCTTCACTGCTTCACCGGATACGCTCCAGCACCTCAATATCCTTCATGGAGTGAGAGGCCCAAAACTGAACACAGGATTCCTGTCACCAGTGCCTAGTACAGGAGGTCAGTCACTTCCCTGGTCCTGCTGGCCACACTATTTCTGATACAGGCCAGGATGTCATTGGCCTTCTGTGTCACCTGGGCACACTGATGGCTCACGTTCAGCAGCTGTAAACCAGGAACCCCAGGTCATTTCCAGCTTTCCAGCCACTCCTCCCCCAGCCTGGGTTGTTGTTTTGCCTGAACTAAAAGCTGCAGGTAGACTATATTCATTGAACTACTGAAATTGAGATGCCTCCCAGACCTTGTGTACAATCTGAACAATACAGTAAAGGATGGAGTGTGTGTACTGATACCATTATTTGAGCTATGAGCTGTCTCCAGTTCATTTGGAGTCTTCCAAATGAAGTACACATTTTTATAGACAGACCTGCTGTAACAGCAGCAAGTTAGAAAAGCACAGTAGAGTTCTGGATTGCAGAAGTTCTGTGGAAGGCCTTGTCTAGAAATACTATTTGGATTTCCAGCTACTCAAACAGGAAGCTTTCAATGATTTTCCACTTTAATTGTTTGAGTTGACACTGTCAGAAACCCACTTTGGTTTGGCAACATATGAAGGACCTTTCAAATGCTGCATGACACCTTACCCTGTATGACCTGTGACAAAACTTTTTGTTTAAACTGAAGTCTTAGCCTGACCCTTGTACCTCAAGTTCACTCCATCCAATACTTCTACCCATAATGACACTTGGTTTAAAAAAAGAATCTAAAGTTAGCCTTATGAACAGAAGAGAATTAGACTCTCAGAAATCATACAACCCAGCACTCATTTGTACACAAGTGTTGCTTACATGTTAGGACAAACCAAGTTACGTTTAATGAAGGTACAATATTACATTTATATCCCCTTAATAGAGGTAGAAAGCCAGTGTTTTAATCTAATCCATTCAGATCAGAAATACTCATACCAGATACTGATTTATTGCTATTAGTGATAACCAAATTTGAGAGCTTATACTGTCAGCAAGGTAGCATGAATACAGTTGCAATCTCCAATGTTCAGAGTAAATCATGTCCACATCTTTAGTAAGACAATAGCAGATTCTACCAAGAATCTGCTGCTTCTTGTAAACATTGTATTTGTGCAGATCTTTTTTAACTTTAATTTCTAAAGTCATGAAAGGCAAGGTTAGTAGCAGAAAACACATCCAGTTTCACATTCAGCAATATAAGAACCCTGCTCTTCAAGGACAACCAAAAACCTAGCAGCACATTTTCAAACAATATTACAAGTTTTTCTGAATTACCCACCCTTCAAAATCCCTTTCCCCCTAAAACCAAACAAAAAACAACAAAAAATCTGACACCAAAAATAAAGTGCAGTACCCAGAAAAATAAGTGTCAAGAAAATAGCCATGTTTGTTTCTTTGGGAAAAAAAAAAAGAAGGGAAATAAAGGAGTACTTGGCCTCAGTCTTAAAAGAACTATAATGTGTCCATCATTTTTGATTCTTCTTCATCTCTTTGTATCACAGAGTTCAGACTGCAGACATCTGTGTTTATGGAACCTTGTAGATCTCCTGTGTTCTGCAACAGATGAAAAATTGACAGCTTAATTCTCCACAATTGTATATATGGAGAAAGAATGAGAGTGAGTGGGAAACAGATTTTAGTTTAAGTAAACAGTTTGTGTTGTCTATCTCGTATTGGCCTTGTAACACAAGTGGGTAGAGCCCTTCACAAATCTTCGTTCGCGAAGCCTAGCCATGATGATGTTGTCCATCTTATGATGGGACAAATTTGCAATAGTAAGAAAATAAGCTCTGAAAAAATCAACCATCAGTGTGTCAAGAATTTTTAAAATTTGCTGGAATAGCTTGTGTTTGGTCTTAATATTTCTAGCACCTAACTGCACATTTACTTAAAATTCAGCTGTTTCATCTTACGTGAGAGATAATTTAATCAAATTATTTCAAATAAGTACTTTCAATTGTGACACCTTCCCTAATACCTAATTTTTGACAATCTTTGAAGTTGCATCTTCATTCCAGAATGTGGCCATAACTAGAACTTTAAAAAAGACTTAAGTATGCTCAGTTTGTTTTTATCACAAAAGGAACTTTCCTTAAGCTTGACTTCTCTTGCCCAGAGAAATTGTGGGGTCCCTGGAAGTTTTAAGTCCAGGTTAGATGGGACTTTGAGCAAAGTGGTCTAGTGGAAGGTGTCCCTGCCCATGGCAGGGGAGATGGAACAAGATGAACTTTCAGGTCCCTTCCAACCCAAGCCACTCCATGATTCTGTGACTTACCAGAATGACCCCATGAATAGGACTAGTTATTTTACATTGCTTGTGGTAAAGACTGTGAATACAAAATGTAAAGGCACTGAACAAACATACGCTTTTGACCTCATGGTGATGCTTTCTGAATTCTAGCAAGTAAAAAGAAAGCCTGTATATGCCTTGTGTATTAATAATACTGCATGCTATATCCCAAGCACTAGCAGGTCCAGGAATAATCCTTTTTATATCTTGGAAAGGTACAGCTTCTCAAGACAAGACCTAAGCTTACTTTAGTTAAATTAATTTCTAGAAATAATAAACCTACCTGTAAAAAAGATGCCCGCTC